TTACTATATATTTCGTAAGTTGTGACATATTTTATACTTCAGAAATAAGAGAGAAAATAATTAGTTTTACTTATTTTTGAATAAAAAGTGTGACCTGACCCGCCACTGGGCTAATTTGTTATCGTTACCATGACGTTTTTTATTTTTTTTTTGACTGTGTCACCATAGTTACCTAAATATTTCAATACATTTCTATAGCAACTACACAAAGCTTTTTACCTGTTAGTCAACCGACTCGTTGAGGGTGGAAAAAAGGGTTTTCTAATAAAAATTTCGCGTAATCAAAAGAAAAAAATATGTAAGTCAAAAAATACTTATCGATTTCAATAAATTAAAAAAATAAGATGAGTTTTTAAATTTAATTTTAGCTATTTTTGGACTTTTAGTAGTAAAATTTTCACTAAATTTGGCGTTTTGGTTTTTGAAAAAAAATTCAAATTTAATCTTGAAGAGGAAAATGTAGTATGAGTACAATTTTGAAATTTAAGTCGAAAAATTTTTCGAGTGTAGTAAATTGAAAAAGCAAGATATTCATCTTTTTAAAAGAAACAATTTTTTGACCTTTAGAAATAAAAAAGTGATGAAAATGTGGCGTTTTGGTTTTCTAAAATTTTGACTTGAAGGGAAAAATGCAAACTTTAAATTTTTTTAAACTTAAAAATACTTAAAAATTTCTATAAATTGGAAAAACAAGACATTCTTATTAAAAAAATTAGTTTGACCTTTACAAATAAAAAATGTGATGAAAATATATATATAAATAATAATCTTTCTATAAAAAATAGTTTGTTAATTTTTCACCTAAAGTGGTGAAGAACCTGAAAATTTGGCTTTTACTTGTACTTCTTAAAAAAATCTAAAATTTGATCTTGAAGTAAAATACTAATTTTAATAAATAGAAAAACAAGACGTATTTTGTTTATTTTTAATGTATAGTTTTAAAAAATTAACGAAAATTTGTCCTTAAAAATTCTAAAATTGACCTTAGGAAACAAAATACAACTGGAATGAGTGCACACATTTCTTGTGTTCATATTTTACATTTTGCAATTTATTGTTTTTTTTTAGTCCAAAAACGAAAGACAGTAGCCAAATAAACATTTTTTTAAGTTAAATAAAGTGAGATTGAGTTGTAACTCTATAAAAACTCACTTGACGACACATTGTTAATGAACAAGGACAATAATTCATACTTTTCAAGGTAAATATTAAGTGAACGACATTGAATTTAAGTCGAAATATGCGGTTCTCTGAACCACACGAGAAAAAAAAATGAAAATTTCTTTGTTAAATAAAAATACCACAATGTAGTTCATGGTCAAGTTTTCTTTTGTTAATGGGGAAAATAAACGTTATTCTTAATCACTTCCTTAATGTTTTAAATATTAGAGGTAAAGGATCGTTATCTGAAATGGTTATCGGAATGATTCATTTTATTTACGTGTAGTCTGTTTATTAATTTTGTGAGTATTTTTATTATCATTAAGTCACAGTTACGACCTATAAATCTCGCGGAAGTAATCATAGGAAAAAGTAGATTTTTTAGTGTTGTATGAAAGTGACTAAAATGATGCTTTTTGTTTGGTTTAGCATATTATGAAGTATCCGCAACTAGTGTCCATGCCCTCGGCAGTTTCTGATTGGCTAGAGGAACAGTTGGAAGCTCGTGGAATAGATGCTGTAGTATATACACGTTACATACTTAGTCTTTTACACAGCGATACTGTAGATGTCATTTATTCCGATGAAGATCTACATTTCTCTCACTTGAAAAAGGTAAAAATAATCACAATTCATACAATTCATTTGTTTTTGAAAGAAAGATATTCTGATGTTAGGAAGTGAGACGTCCGATTGGAGGAAATCGTAAACGTTTTCGTCGTTCATCATCCGATTGGTGGAAAAATGCACAAGCTGATGCTGAAAAACTGAAACGTTCAGCTGCAATAGAATGTCTTATGTCAGCATCTGAACAAACATGCGGAATTGAATCACTAATTGATGAGTTATGCGAAAAATTGAACGAAATCAAGAGTGATAAACCACACGTTGTCGATCCTCCTATCAAAAAAACTAATCTAGAGCTCCAACAAGTTTCCCCACAAGAATTGGCCAAACGCTATTACGCTGCTTTTCCTCCACTTAATCGAAACACATCACCTACGAAACTAATCTCATTGATACCCAAGTGGATACCATCACCGAAGAAGAAACCCAACAAAATGAAAGCAAGCAAAAAACAACAACAACAACAACGTGGTGGTGGATATATCACTAATCGCAAGAAGAAGGAAAATCCTCCTCCTCCAAAAACCCAAGATGTTGTTAATCTCTATGATGATCTCCCGGTGGACATTAAAGAATTGCTTGATGATTCCCCCAGTTCGCATGATGTCACTGTTGAGATGATGAATCTTGCTAATATGAGGGATACAGGAAGACGAGGTTTTATATCCAGTGGTACCAACATAACGAGCTCGATTTGGACGAATGATACGACGATGCTTGATCAACAATTCAGTTCAATTACTATCGATAATTGGTCAAATGAATCATTTTTTTCATGTGGACGATGGTCAGATGATAGTGGTTGTTTCGATGATGATCAACACAATCAACACACTTTGAGTTTAGTTAAATTGAATCATGATAAAGAAGTGAGTGCTTTTGCTGAAGTTGTACCAAAAACACGCCAGAATCAATATAATCCATTTTCGAAAATTATCGGTTCGGAATTGCATCGTGATAAGAAAAATGAACTTGAAAAAGACGATGATTTACTCACGTCAATTCATAGTCATTTTCGTCCGATTAATGAAAAAGTTGATGGTCAATACGCAGATGGCGCCACTTTTCTTGTATCAAACACTTGGGACAAGATTAATTACCGAAGAACTGAAAGTGGGATGTATATGGAAACTGATTATAACATGCGTAAAAAATACTGCGAGTATAAAAATGGGCCTAAGAATATGGAATTTGTTTTGAAATATCTTGTGTGTCAGAATGATAAAGGTTGTCAGACTGATGATGTTGATGCTGAAGTTGAAGCAATCAATCGGGAGACTTGCACTTGTTTATTGTGCGATAAATGTAATAATAATACATGGAATACGAATCTTGGTTTAAAAACGGATTTAAGATGGCAATTCGGGACCACGAATATTTGGAGTGGGGGTAGTGTATGTCATGCGTGTCTTGGACGTCCCCCCTCCACTCTTCAACATAGCAAACTTCGCGAAGATGTYAGTCAAGATGGCGATCAATTATTATCCGATTTGAGTACTATACAAAAATCCTATATGCAAGAAAGTCTCCCGATGACTGAAATCACCTATGACTTGGCTGAATTTTTTCTCCCTAAAGAACGTAAACGTCGTCATTCATTAATGGCCCAAATGGACGATTCGTGGAGTTTTGCTTCGCGTTTAGAAGAAGATTGTATTATACAGATGTCTACAATACCAACATTGCGTTCGGTCACTTTGTAAGGGAGGGGGTAGGTCAATTGGAAATCTCTTGGTAACACATAGAGCTGATCAGTGGCGTAAATGCCACCACAAAATGACAAACTGCCATATTAATTTCAGTGCAGTTAAGCCTGTCATATATAAGACGGGTAAAAATGTGACGCTTGTGTGTTATCGATTGGCGAATTAAATTATTAAATCAATTGTGAGTTGAAGCAACCGGGCAAGATGTTGTTTTTTTTTTTTTTGTTAAGTTTTGGAATTTTTTATCTTGCACGGTTGGTATTAATGTAGGGGGAGTCTTATTTTAGTTGAATTTTTTTACCGAACCTACATTAACGTTTTTCTTGTTATGTGTGCAAATTACGACCCGTTTGTCAAAAATTAAGAATTGTTTTTATTAATTTTTTTGATGTGGGTTTCTGGAAATTGTTTTATTTTGAAATTTCCACAAAAAAGTTGATTTCTTTCACTACTATTGTAACCCAACAATATAGTTGAAGATGTATGTCTATGTATAATGTTAGGGCATTTTAGTATAGCTCTTTGAAGTGCAGCAATGAACACCTGTAGTTGCTCGAGACGGTGCATTTTGTCCCTTGGGGTCAAAATGTGCGCGTCTCCCCTAGTTGTATTTTTCGAAATATGTAACTATTATAAATATTGGAAATGGGTATTACCATTACTGGTTTATATTTAGTTGTTTTTTGTTTTTTTTTTTAATCATTTTTTAGAACGATTAGGGAGCGTGGGCAAATTTTTCAACCACATTTAGTCATTCGGAGCCAAAGTAAAGTAGTGTATTAATAATTCCCGCCCCTCTCTAATCGCTATAACCGAATGTAATATTTCTTATCAATTATATAAATGAAAGAAAAAAAAATGGAGAAAAATCCGTTAGTTTTAGAATTGTTTCTGATATTTGACGCGTTTTTCAACTGAGCGTCATTTTTTTTGAGAAATAATCGCATATCGGATACAATTATATTTTTTGAAGTGCTTCGTTTGAAAAACTTGTGCGAGTGTGTGAATGTGTCTCAGTTGATCAAAAAAAAAAAAATAAAAATTTTGTTGTGCTATAAAATAAATGTGTATTCAATCGCACCTGATTCAATCGTTACAAAGCACAGCAAAAGTCCCACCGTTAGTTTACAGTCTTGCCAACTAAATTACAAGAAAAGGTGCTGTTGAATTTTATTGTATTTCCATCATTTTATTGTATGTTGTAATTAATGCAATAATTTTATATAAACGTATCGTAACTCGTTCACTTGATTCGATTTTTTGTTTTGTTTTCTGATTATGTTGTAATTACGTAAAGTGAACTTGTTATCTTTTTAAAAGAAATACACGTAACGGAGTAGTGCAGTAATTAAAATTGTGATTTGTTTTAATTATTGTGATGTCTCCGTTGTTGCATTTTAGTGATTGGTGGAGAGTGATTTCGGTGTTTTATTTTTCAAATTAACAAAACCAATCACTGGATGCAGCTCTGATGTTAGTGTGTAGCATAACCTTTTATTTTAGTGCCTATTAAAACTAGTATAATTTGACCTTTTGCCTTATCAAACGTTACATGTAACCATCTTTGTATGTTGTTTACATAGAAATTTTCATCAATGTAACATATTCAATTGACTCAATTAAGAAATAATGCAGTTTGTGGCTTAATTCATAGTTTTATTATTATAATGACGAAAAGTAAAAACGCTAAAAAAAATACGAAAAAATAAAAATGTCAAAATATTTTTGTTCCGTTCTAATAGGTCAGTGTATCAATACTTATGAAACTTATCAAGGACATAACTAATAATTCATTGTCATCAAAATCATTAATTAAAAAAATACAAAAGTTGGGTACTTGCTAGCGGTTTCCTATTTTTTAACGCAGCATAACTAAATTAAGTCCGGCAGTGAGTTGATTAAATAAAGCAAGTACAAAGCACCACCGTGTTTTACTTCCCACCCCTAAAATAATTATTTAAAAAAATGGCAACACCGGTTTTTAGGTTAGAAATTTTGACTTCTAAAGTTTGACAAAAAGGTATCTACTTGTAACCCTTAATAGAAATATCTTGGATTTGGTGCCTAATCACTGACATTTTTACCTAACTCTTAGGCTTTAACTTGATTATTTTGTCAAATTTTCTCGAAGAAAAAAAAATCGAAAACAACCAAATTAGTTCAAATAGTGACAAATTATTTTTGTTTTTTTCGAATGCTTTTTTTTAGTTAGAAACACAATTATTTTGCAAAATTTTGTCAAAAACAAGCCACAAATTCAACAAAATATCTCAAAAAACTGCGTTGTTTGCCTTTTTGAGAGATAAAAACACAAAAAGTTCGAAATATTGCATTGAAACTGGCTTAAAAATTACAAAATTAAATCGAAATTGATATTATTTATGTTAGCCCGACTTCGTTTTTGAACCAGAGGTTCATTTATTTTGCAAAATCTTGTCTAAACACGTCTAAAAACCACAAAATAAGATTTTGATGTTATTTTGTTTGTCACTCGATTTAACTGTTTTTTGAGCAAAATGAGCAGAGAAAACACAAAATTTGGCTCAAAAAGGCACGTTTTTGTTCTAAAATCACAGATTTTTCGCCAAAACAAACTAAATATTCAAGAAATTAAATCTAAAATTACATTATTTTGCAAAATTTTGTTGAAAACAGACCACAAAAACACAGAATTAAGCCAAAAATGATATAATTTTTCCTTTTTCGAAAATTTAAGCAGATATTTAAGCTGAAAGCTTTGTTTTTTCGCAAGAGTTTGCCACAGTGAGTCAAAATCACTAAATTGTTATAAAAAAAATTATATTATGATATTTTTACCTAATTCTTAACTTGATTATTTCGTCATATTTTCTCGAAGAAAAAATTAAATAATTGAAAAACACCAAATTGGTTAAAAAGAGTTCTATTTTTTTTACAAGATATTACAGAGTCGAAAATGAGAACTTATTTTTGTTTTTTTGATTTCGAATGCTTTTTCAGCTAGAAACACAATTATTTTGTAAAAAACAAGCCACAAATTCAACAAAATATCTCAAAAAAACTGCGTTTTTTTGCCTTTTTGAGAGATAAAAACACAAAAAATTTGAAATATTGCATTAAAGCAGGCTAAAAAATTACAAATCGAAATTGTTATCATTTTTTAGCTTTACTTAGTTTTATTTTGCAAAATATTGTCCAAATACGCCTAAAAACCACAAAAAAATTGATTTTAATGTTATTTTTTTTGTTTGTCTCACTCGATTTTTGAACAAAATAAGACAAAAATAATCCGAGAAAACTCAAAATTTGGCTGAAAATGCACTTTTTGTACTAAAATCTCAAGTTTTTCTTTAGATTTCGCTAAATCAAATTAAATAATCGAAAAATTGAGTCTAAAATGGTATTTTTTGAACGTTTTAGCACGTTTTTCAGCTAGAAATGCAATTATTTCGCAAAATTTTGTTGAAAACAATTAGACCAAAAAGCATGTAATTTTTGCTTTTTTTGAAGAGTTGAAGTTAATAATTAATTAATAGAAATATTTTGTATTTGGCGCCTAAACACTATGTGGCAACACCGGCCTCAAATGTCAATTGCAGGTTTTTAGGTTAAAAATTTTGAATTCTAATGTGACAGTTGCGGGTTTTAGGTTAGGATTTTCAAATTTTGAGGTAAGAAAGCAGTTCCAAGAACTAGCACCATGTCGAAGCCCTCCACGTCTCGCGAGCGCATCATCCCCATCACCATGGAGGTGGACTCGCCCCCGCGAGTCATGTCTCCAGGCCCCCCAAAACGCACCCTCCCGATGGTCAATTGCCAGGAGAAGATCATCCTTGTGGTGGATAGCGCCGAAGACGACAGTTTCACCCCCTTCAAGCCCCCCAATTCCGAACCGAGTAAACCCTTCGAAATGTTAAAACGAGCCGTCGACATGTTCCTCCACCGCAAGAGTTTAATAAACAAAAAACACGAATTTGCTTTGGCGATTTTGAACGAAAACAGTGTTGTGTGGCTTGTGGACTTCACTAGTAACATAAATCAGATCATGAAGGCGTTGCAACGTGTTGAAGCGTGCAAGACTGAGGACATTTTTTACTTAAATTCGTTGTTTGATGTTGTTTTGCAAAAAGTTGCGGTTCCGGAAATAACAACAGTGGATGAGACGGTAATTCCGCCCCAATACACCGTGCGAATGGTGTTGTTTTACGGCCGGTCTTACACAAYCCCGAAAGTTGTTAATAGTCCGGAAATTGAGGCYTTTTTGGAGTTGGCCTATTTCACACTAGATGTCTTGATTACGCATGAGGTTGTTGATGATAACAATAATTGCAACAAAATTTTTGCGATTTTGCAAAATTTGGATAAGAAAGGTTTTGCGAATTTTTTCTCGGTTGGAAGAGATGTGGATGTGTTGTTTGTTGCAATTGCCAGGTTACTAGGGCATCCCTTGCAACGCCCCATTCAAAAACTGGCCAATTTTTCACTCATCAAAGATGATGAGTGAGGAATTTTTTTCAGTATTGTATATTTTGTATGAAATAAATGTTTTTTCTTATTCTTAATTCTTGTTTTATTTAAAATCCCATCATCTCATTTTTTTGAGTAGTTAATATTGAAAAAGTAAGCTTAAAATGCTCTACGACGAGTAGATTAAATTTAAATGATTTTTTTCACGCTCCACATGTTTTTAATTTCATTTGCAAGGATTATCTAGTTAGATATTTTTTTTAAGTTTACTGTTGTAACCAAAAATCACATATTCACACATTTTGCGATAACCAAAAAAATGTATTTTCCTGTAAAAATTATTTTAAAAGTAAATTTGCACTCGTCTTCTGCAAATTTTGAAAAAGAATTTGAGAAATAATACATTTTATCGAAAACACAATTAATTTCTATTCATAATTTAATAAATACTTACTCAAAAATCAGAAATTCACACACTTTTTCACATAATAAACAAAAAAAAATAAAAATTAAAATGCACTGACCTTATATGGCATCTTCTTCTGCTACCATTTGTAGCGATTCCCCTCATCTTCATAGAACGGACCTACTGAAATAAAAAAAAAACACAATTCAGTGCTCTGTATTTATCAAATTTGTTGAAAATGTTAAATAAAATTGAAATATGATTTTTTTTTAAACTGTTGACTTACCCTTTAATCCAGTTCCTTGTTTCGTCCATTCCCCTTTAAACTCCTCTTATTAGCACTCACTAATCACTCGAAATTTTAAAAATCGCGCACTACTAAATGTCTATTAGGCACTCGAAAATACACAACACATTCACTGTGTGTACAGCCCCCATTTCGCACTGAACCTCCAAATAAGTAATAATTTTACCGGACAATTATTACAATTCAAGTAACTCGTACGGGAGCTTGGCTAAGACTGACTTGCTATTGTAATTTCCCAAAAACGGAACAAAAACCCATTTCGTAACAGTTCCGGTGTAAAATGCCTTCTTTCGGGGCTGCGTAATCCCGCCATTTGCAACGTCACAATGTGATTTGAATATTACCCAACTTTACTGTCACCATTTTTTGCGCCTTTACGTGAAGATCTTTTATCGATTATTCACTCACAAAATTTAACCCAATCAAATTTTTCAAATTTTCGCGATTCAAAATTCGCGATAATTTAGCACGTGTGTTAAATTCTGCGAATTTGATTGGATGAATCTCACAAATTTGAAAGATTTGATTGGCATACATTACTTAATTTTTTGAATTTCTCATAATGAAAATATTACTATTGAAGATAGTAGATGTTACTATGGAAAATTCACTTTTGTTTAAAGTTGACCTCATGAAAAATCGACTAATAATGATTCTAGAAGGTCCATAACTTTTTTCCTATGCAAGGTATCGACTTGATTTTTTTTCAATCGATCTATGCGACACTTTTTAAAAATATTTTTATTTGCGCCAGAACTCGCGCCCCAGAGAAAAATGCCGTATAAGGTAAGATACCAGGAACATAGAAAAAATGTTAAAAAAATTTTATCTATAAAAATTTCGAAGTTTAAAGTTTGCACTTTGACTCTATTTATTTTTGTTGGGAAAAAACAAGGAAGCTGTATTCTAAATTGTAACTCTGTTCAATGTTATTTGTGGCTTTTATTGGCAAAATTTTTGTCCTTTTACTAAATAATTGTAAAAACACAATCAGTATCATTAAATAGATATAAAAAAATGTCAAATGTCAAAAAATAAATGTCAAAATTTTTTGACAGATTTTTTAAACATTTTTTTCATGTTCCTTACTTGAAAATTTTTTCCTAGGGCGCGAGTTCTGGCGCACCTGTATACAGGTGTCCCAAAATAAACTACGTTGGGTGCTAATTAATGGTACAGTGATGAATTTCGTCCATGAATTCACAAAAATTTTCGAATTTTGATTTTGGCGTGGCGCTTATAATTTTCGAGAAAAACTTGTTTAAAATTTTAAAAACCAGATTTTTGTTCTTGTTTTCTATCACAACGAAAGTATTAGGATTATCGTAAAGAACCAAACAAAAAATCTGAGTTGGCGTAGATGTTATGTCTAAATTTCCCATAGTTTAGAAATTTTTGCCTATTTTTTTACAAGATTCGCAAAAATTAAAAACGTTTCAGTGGAACCAAATGACGTTTTCGCACTCTTGAGGGTTTCAGGGACTCTAAAAACGTCATTAAACACTAATTTTCACTTTTTTACTACAATGATGCGGTAAGTAATAATTACGCCACAAAAAATTGAGGACGGACATTTTGCTTTTCCATCAACAAAATGGCCAATAGAAAAAGTGGTGGTTATTATTATTACATCATTAGTGGTGTACGTGCTAACGTTCAACTTCTGCAATTTGTTGCGGAATAAAAACTTCCCGATTTCTAAGTATGAAAAGTTCACTGAAGTTTAGTGAAATTTCCGCAATTGCAAACAGTCAAATGGTCACCAAATCTGAAGATAAATCACCCATTGTTTACATATCGTTTGAAATGTGTGTTAAGCGCGAATAAAATCCTCACTTCAGAGCTGTGTATCTGTGTGGGTAAGGTTCAACCTGCTTAAGCACTTGACTGAGAGAGCAGTTAGTAAGTCAGTGGTGGTAAAAGCGACTCGACTTAGTCTTGCACAGGTATTCCTCTGAATCGCGTGTGTTCTTCACCTTGTAGTGGGTCACTTGGACGTGCGCTGCATTTTTGTGAACTGTGCCTTTTTTCTGGATTTTTCCGGGARCYGAAACAGGTARGTGAATCAATCGAWACACAAACTAAGATTGAGGATTTTTTCCGCCAACAAATCTCGGATTCATGACCAAAACTTTAAGTTGGTCGATCCTTCCGGCGATGATCTTATCCAAAAGCAAGACACGATCACCTCTCCGATTCTTCTTCTAGGGCTTGATCAAGATAAGCAAAACTTTGGTCCTGAAACTTTTCAATGTGCTCCTGAATGAGCGACTTTTTATTTTCCTGAAAAATCTTCTCAAACTGTTTTATGTAGTTGTTTCCGGTTTGTTTTTTGCAGATTCGGGGTCTTGTTTTCACTTGACAAGGAATGAATGATAGGCAAATTTGTTAAACTTTTTGAAAATGAAAGAAAATTAACACCAAAAGGTTATTTTACACATTTTCTTGTAGCTTTTTTTCGATTATTTGGCTCTTAAAGTCGATATAAACCATACAAATTTTTATTTGAGTAAATCCTGGAGAGACCTGCTGTTCTCAGGCTAAAGTTCATCTCAATTTTCAGTTTTTACGTTTTGTTGGTTTTTGAAAGCAAATTTTTTTGACGCGAAAAGCTAGTTTTTCAATATTTTGCTTTGCAAGTTGATATAATTCTAAAAAAGTTAAAGTAATGTAAGTCCGGAAGAGATGGACTACATTTTGGAAAACTTGCTGTCTCAATTTGGTTCTGAATTTGACTCAAAAAGCTTATTTTGCGCAATTTTTTCTTATCACTTTCGATATTTTGCTTGATATAAAAGAAAAACATTTTTAATAGAATAAGTCTGAGAGTTTTTGAAAAACCTGCGGTCTAAAGTTCAAAGCCTAACTCAAGTTTATTTTTTTTTACGTTTTGTTATTCTTTTAAAGCACAGTTTTCTGACCTGCAATTTTCAGTTTTTAAAGGTCAAAGCCCAACTAAATTTTAATTTTTTTACGTTTTGTTATTGTTTTAAAGCACAGTTTTTTGTATTAAATCTGACGCATAAAGCTCATTTTACGCATTTTCTTCCAGTTTTTTTCCAAGTCGAAAATCTAAAAAAATTCTAATAGAGTAAGTTCGGGAGAGATGGATCACATTTTGAAAAACCTGTCCTTCATATCAGTTTTTAGTTGTTTTTTTGTTTTGCTATTTTTTAAAATACAATTTTTGGTAATAAATTTGACACAAAAATTTTTTTTTACTAAGTTAATTTAAATCAAGAAATTTGTTTTTAGAGTAAATCGGAGAGAAATGGACCACGTTTTGAAAAACCTACTATTCAAATTTCACTTTTTGTTTTTTGTACACGTTTTGTTATTTCTTTAAAGACAATTTTTTGTGCTAAATCTTATTTTACACATTTTCTTGCAGTTTTTTTCGATTATTTGGCTTTTAAAGTTGACATAAACCATAAAAATTTCTATTTGAGTAAATCCGGGAGAGATGGACCATATTTTGAGAAACCTGCTGTTTTCAGTCTAAAGTTCATCTCAATTTTCAGTTTTTTCTTTTTGTTGTTTTTTGAAAGCAATTTTTTTTGTACTAAATCTAACGCAAAAAACTACTAAATCTGATGCAAAAAGCTTTCTTCTAGTTTTTCTCGATATTTTGCTTTCCAAGTCGATATAATTGTGGAAAAGTTGTAATAAAGATGGATCACATTTTGGAAAACTTGCTGTTTCAATTTTTGTACTAAATTTGACTCAAAAAGGTTATTTTACGCATTTTTTGCCGTTTGTTTTTTGATATTTTGCTTCCTACTAGCTGCACAATTAACAAACAAAACTTAATTTTGTAAAAAAAAATAGAAATGACATTTTTTTATAATTTTTTAAGGTTTTGATAATTGGAAAAACCAGACTTTACATAGTTTCTCCTCAGTCTAGCCCTGATAAAGTCGCTAACACTGATTACAACACTAATTTATCAATAACTCAATTTCAGTTTTTACGTTTTGTTGTTTTTTGAAAGCAATTTTTGTTGTACTAAATCTGACGCAAAAAGCTTTCTTCTAGTTTTTCTCGATATTTTACTTTCCAAGTCGATATAAAAGAAAAAAATTTCTAATTGAGTAAATCTGAAAGAATTTTTGAAAAACGTGCTGTCTAAATGTCAAAGTCTAATTCAGTTTCATTTTTTTTTCGTTTTGTTATTTTTAAAGCATAGTTTTATGTATTAAATCTGACACACAAAGCTTATTTTTCGCATTTCTTTCCAGTTGTTTCTCAATTTTCTGTTTCTGATACATTTTTGTACAAAATTTTACGCATTTTCTTGCAATTTTAACGTTAATTCTGCTTTTCAAGGTCGCATAATTCTAAAAAATTTCTGCTGAAGTAAGTCCGGAAAAGATGAATCACATTTTGGAATTTTTTTATACTAAATTTGACGCAAAAAGCCCTGTCGATGTAAATCTAAGAAATTTCTTAGAGGTGGCCACATTTTGAAAAACCTCTTGTCTAAAGTTTGTTTCAATTTTTAGTTGTTTTTTTTATGTTGTATTATTTTTTTGTACTAAATTCTACGCAAAAAGCTCATTGTTTGCAGTTTTTTTTTCGATAAT